TATTATTTTGATCCATGTAGTTATTGAATGGAATATGAAAAATATTGATTAGTTTTTTTAGTTTTTATGTTCTTTATCTAGCTCAGCTTGCTAAATATGCATTCTTATGTAATTTTACTTTTTCAATTTATTTCTTACTGGGTAGCCTTCTTTTTATAAGGTAATTAGCTGTCATTACTCAACAAATAGGAGCTAGTTGATCTTCTAAACTTTTTCTGTTCACTTATATATTGAAAAAGCATTTAATTCCCACATTATCATCTTCTATTTGTTATTCCTAAAGGATTATTCTCACTTGTAAGGATTAAATTTATATCACATGGGGTGGGTACCATTTTAATTGTCTTGAGTTATTCAAAGAAAAACTGTTAGTTGAAAAGTTAAATGATGCCGTAATTAGATTTCCTCTTTTAAAATGTGGAGAATGACACAGAAGTTTACATTTGGTTTGTATTCAAGGTTACATGTATTCACTCTTTAGATTTATTAGTACTGTTAGCCATTCATATCTGTAAATTCTGCATCTATGGATTCAACTAACCATGGATTGAAAATATTAGGGAAAAAGGGCATCTTTACTGAACATATGCAGACTTTATTCTTGTCATTATTCATTAAACAGTACAGTGTTAACAGGTTAGTTAGAATTTACATTGTATTAGTTATTATAAATCTAGAGATGATCAAAAAGTATATGGAAGGATGCACAGAGGTTTTATACAAAAATACTATATCATTTTTATGTAAGGGACTTGAGCATCATTAGATTTTGGTATCTGTAAGGGTTCCTGGAACTAGTTTACTTTGAATACCAAGGGATGATAATACTGTGGTTTGGATGTGGTTTGAGTGTGAAACCAAAGATGAATGTGCTAGAAACTTGATTCTCAGAGTTTTCAGAGTAATGATGTTGAAAGGTGGGAACTAGGAGAATATGGTTAGGTCATTAGGGGTGCTGCCCTTGGAAGAGATTAATGTAGTTCTTTCAGGACCCCAATTAATTTCCAAGAGAGTGAGTTGTTATAAAAAGAGAAAGCCTGTTCTTGAATCATTCTGACTTCTTGCTCCTATTTCTGCCATTATAATGCCATCTGCCATGAGGCACTCAACATAGACTGAGCTGATTGGGCCAAAACTTAGCTAAACAAACCTTTTGTCTTTATACATTACTCAACTTCAAATATTTTGTTACAGAAACAAAGAAACTCAAAGATAACATTCACCTTTTAGTTTGTCCTTTTTAGGTATCAATTAATAAATCCCTTTCTTATTCTAATATCACAAATTTTATTCCATATTTTCCTATGAAAGTTTTTCTTTTTGCCATTAGCTCTTTAATCTCTCTGTAAAATTTTTAAAAAGTTCTCTGATTTTTAAAAAATAAAGTACATGGTTCATTGTACTTATGCTCTCAAGTAATACCCTGACCCCTGCTATTGGTAGTACTGTCTTAGCCACTTATAAATTGCTGTGTGTTTTGATTTAGATGTGAGGTGTTCCCCAAAAGCTTATGTGTGAGAAAATGCAAGAAGGTTTAGAGGTGAAATGACTGGGTCATGAGATCTTTAACCTAATCAGTGCTTAACTGAGTGACAACTGTAGGCGGGTAGGGTGTGGCTGGTGGAGATGGGTCCTTGGGGATATGTCTTTGGGTGTTTATATTTTGCTCTTGTTGAGAAAAGCTCTCTCTGCTTCCTGATCATTATGTGTGAACCTCTTTTCTTCCACCACACACTTCTGCCATGATGTTCTGCCTCACCCAAGCCCAGAGGAGTGGAGCCAGCCTTCTGTGGTCTGAGAGTTTTGAAACCGTAAGCTCCAAAAAAAAAAACTTGTACTCCTCTAATTGTTCTTGTCTGGTTTTTAAGTCATGGCAGCAAAAATCCAAAACACCATGTGTGTCTTTCTAGACTTGCTTTTTTATTTCAGGGATTTCTTTGTCTAGACCTGTGCTTGTACCACTTTATTTCCATCATAATAAACTCAGAAATTTGATATGATTAATCAGCTTTCCCCATGCTTTCTGTTATTTTTGACCTTTCACTTTCCATATATATTATAGAATCAATATGAGGAGTTCCTAAAAAGCCTTGTTGGGATTTTGACTTTTGATGCACTGGAATTATAGAATAATTTGCAGGAAATTGACCTTCATTAATTTACTTATTTAATAGTCCTCTTTATGTAGATATAAGTTTCTGCCCTATTTCCCTTCTCTGTGAAGAACAACTTTGAACATTTTTTTATAAGGCAGCTCTACTGACAAAAACATTCTTCACCTTTTGTTTGTATGATAATTACCCTTGGTATGAGATTCTAGGTTGTTTTTATTTTACTTTCAACACTGAATATTTCATCCCAACATCAGGTATTGGACAAAATGAACTGAGGAAAATGGGCCTTTTGTGTGCAATTTTATGGTTATCAAAGGCTGAGCTAGTCTGTGTTTATTGTCTGATAGCTGTAGGTTTCAGAGGCTAACATTTCCTGTAGTGTCCTTGATTTTGTTTTCCTCTTGTCTTTGGGTTTTTCTAAGGAAGTCGTCTTTAAATGAAGTCTCTGTCTTGGAGCTTTTCTCAGTTATAATGCTGTTTTACTATAGGAGCCTGGTAAGATTCTGGGTTAAGGGAAGTGTTCTTTAATTTGGTGGACTAGGTGTCACTCTTTTGGTGAGCATGTGTTCCTGGGTTTTGGCTGTCACAAGGATTTCTCTGCTTTTCCTACCCTGTAGAAAAGGCAGAAAGGCCAGGTCAGTTAAATTCTATCAAAAACAGAAGGCTTGGCTGTGGCAAAAGAGGTCCCTTGAGTCTGGGTCTTTGTTAAGGAGAAAAAAGTGCCCTGGGCACATTTCAAATTCCTCTGTCCCCTTCCAGAAGCTTCAGGAGATTCTTACCTGGTCTTTACCCTGACAACTTGGTGGAGCTTTAGAGGTCAGACTCCCCAGAGTGTGAGGGCTTCCCTAAAACTTTTTTTTCTCTCTGAAGTTGTCCTCCATTAATGCCCAGTCCCCAACTATTAGTCAGTTGCCCTTTAATTTTCTATTGTGGCTCCAGTGTGTTTTCTGCCCCTGCAAGCTTTGATTTTTCCCTATTTGCCTGCCCCTCCAGGTTTAGGGATGATAGTTTGCCCCATGACTTTAGTTCTTTGATATATCTAAAAAAAAAAGTTGTTGATTTTCAGTTTTGTCACCTTTCCTCCCCCTTCTTTCCTCATTGTAAGGATAGTTATGATGGTTTCCAAGCTCTTTACATCAGACTGGAAGCCAGAAATCCATTAGTGTCTATATATAGTACCTGCCAATGTTAATTTTTTTGTATGTGTTTGTGTGTCTTTCTATGAAGGTTATATCATAGGTACTGTTTTAGTCAGTTTTTTTCATGGCTATGACCAATAAGTTCTGACAATAATAATTTTGGATGAGGAAATGTTTATTTGAGGGCTTATGGCTTCAAAGGTCTCAGTTCATAGATGGTCAACTTCATAGATCTGGGTCCAAAATGAGGCAGAACATCATGGTAGGAAGGTATAGAAGAAGAAAGCAGTTCAGGACATGGCAAAAGGAAGCAGAGAGAGCTCTGATCTCCAGGAACAAAATATGTACCCCAAAGGAATGCCACCAGTGATCTACCTCCTCCAGCCAAAACCTGTCTGCCTATAGTTACCACCCAGTTAATACCCATCAGTGGGTTAATCCACTGATTAGGTTAAGGCTCTCATTACCCAATCATTTCACCTCTAGTACCATCTCACACATGAGCTTTTGGGGGACACCTCATATCTAAACTGTAACAGTACCTTAGAATATTTTTGTAAATGGTATATTTTTCCAGTTATTTTGGTTGCTGTAGGTAAACAGGAAACTGTTACTTTTTATATATTCATTTTTTTTGTCTGACAGTCTTGCTTTTTCGATCATAATTGTTCTTCAAACCTTGAGATAGATATGTCTACCACTTATTTTAGTTCCACTCCTCTCTCAATATATATTATTAAACCTTCAACATAGGTGTTGATCATTTTCATAGATACCAATAGTAGGATATATTTCTTTTCTTTGCAAGTTTCTGCTTTTTCAACTGGAAGTTTGGAGTTCCCCAAATACCTTAGGTGGAGCATGACATCTGTGCTTTGAGTGATGTCTGTTACTTAGTGGTAGAGGGTGAATAAAATATCCCTGGTTCTTAGGGTCCCTATAAATATCCAGATACAATATTACATGTAAACACAGACTCATGGGCCACCACGCATGTGTGGAGGGTCATCACCTGTGCAGGGCATCAGTACATTGGTTTGGACCAAGGTGTTGTGTGCCTGTGTATAGCATAGTTCCTCCTGCCTGCCAGTGTGGATAGGACAAGTGCCCAGCAAAAGCAGTCCATCAAATGAGAAATTAGGTTTTACGATTAGATTGCAGTAATGATTTGCCATTTCTTCATTGATATTTTGAAGGAAAAAAAATATTTTTAAGCTTTTGTGTTAAGTTTCAAACCATATTTGAGTGTCCTGTGTCTACTGTAAATGGGAATTCATAGGGTGCTTTATATAGCATATTTACATCTCTTGAGCCTATTTCCAAAAATAACCATAATAAACTTGTCATAGTCCTTTGATGTATTTGATAAGTCATGAATTAGTGTTTCTCTTTTTCACCAACATTTTGATCATTGTTTAGCTTAAACTTAAGTAATGATCAACAGTTTATGCATATAATTTGGTGGTTTAATACCAACCTTTGCCATCCAGATTTTGCATTATACACTAAAAGTTCCTTTCATAAGCACTGAAGGTTTTGAGAAATTACTGTTTTGATTTTCATAGTGTCATTTTGACCTGAGCACTTTTTCAAAGTTAAATGAGCTTATTGGTTTATTAAATGTCATGAAGGGTTTTAAGTCTAGGATAAATTTAGCTGTTATTTTCCTCTCTCTTAGATAGTGCTTTAGATTGGTTTTGTGCTAATAGAAAGTTCTCAACCAAGTCTTTCCCATCCTTTCTTTTAGGTTGTTGATTATATCCTGCCACCCTTGGTCTCCTTGGTTCAAAGTCAAAATGGTAAGTGAGACCACATTAGTAGAATCTTCTCAGTTGCATAATCTGTTTTATTTTTTTCTCAGTGTAGTCACATTCTTGACATTTTTCCCCTCTTCCAAGTGGAGTGGAGACTCTTCAGCTTGCGGTTGCTGTCAGAAACCACATCTCTACTTGTGAACCAGGAGGATGGGAATGGCGAGGAGGAAGTAAACATTGATTCTGAAGGCAATCTTCTGGCTCTTGTGAGAGACGTCTTACTTCCCCAGTGAGTGTTTTGCTGCTGCACTCATGTAGAGAAGTGTAGGCCATCCTGGAAGTTTCTATTAAACTAGGTCCAGTGATGGAGTTGGGGTTCTAAGTCCTTATATTTATGAACATATATTTGTATATTTAGTGTCAAAGAAGTCTAGAGACAGACGGTAACTGTTAAACTGTAGGGGACCCAGAACAACCTCAGTCCATCTCAAAAACATTCATTTAGAGTTTCCTATGTTTTCTGCCAGACACATGACTCTGAAGTTTTAGATTTAAAGGAGGTCCTGGCTTGGGGTAAACTTTATGATTCAAGGTCATTGTTGTAAGACATTGAGACTTCTGGCTCTACTCAGAAACATTAGAGATGGAAGGAAAGCTACCCTTTCCCCAAACTCTTTAGTTACAAATAGGATGTTTTGGAGAGTGTTGAAAGAGTTGGTGGGACAAGTGATGAGTTAACAGAGACAGATTATTTTTTCCTTTTATTCTGTTGTTCCCATAACACAATAGGATGGGTTACTGAGAATTCCCATGACAAATGTGGAACACTACAATGATATAGCCCAAGAAACAATGAATCTTACCAAATTGTAATTTAAATACAAAAGTATGTCACATATCACTATTAAATGATTTTTTGGCAAAATTAAATTAATATTTGATTTATATATTAGTATCTAAAATTAAGTATTTTGTGTTAGTATGAGTGCCTGTTCATGGTTTCTTTTAAGACCTAGGTTGCAGTCTCAGTCAGTTTGACAAGTTTTCTAGAATAGCAGCCTTACCTGATGCTTCCCTCTTCTTGTTCTACTTCACAAGATTTATTCTCATTTAAGAAAAATAATTATCACAATATAGATACCAGATGTAATTGCATTCTGATTTTGGTCATTGTTAAGAATTTCAACTATCTTTTATAAAATTAAGTCTATATTAGAGTTATTAACTCTAATTCAGTGCTCCTGTATTACTCATTTGAGCTGAAATATATAATGCAAATTTCCTTTATTGTTTATCTTTGTGTTTTTCAAAGATGAGGAATTAAAGAAGAAAATACAAATGTAAACCGTATGGCAATTCAAGGACACAAATAATGTAGAGAAATTCAAGTTTTTATTAAACAACTTTAAATGCACTTCAAGTAGTAGTATGGAATTTACCAAGATGTGGTGTGGATGTCTTCAGACTTGCAGACTGATTTTGATGTGGAGCACAGGTCTGGACTGTGTAATTCAGTCTCTAAGCCTTAGTTTTCTCATCTGCAGATAAAGCCAAAGATAGTACCTACCCCAGAAGATAATTGTGAAGATTAAATAGGATCCTTCTTGTACATCAGTATGGTGTGTGGGCTGTAGTACACTCTTGACAAATGTTTAACACCACTACTGTTTTTATTAGGCTTATTATTTTAATCTCTCCTATTAATCTTTAAAATGAAGATTGTAATAGAAGAAGAATACAAATAATACATACTTTATAGACATGAAGTGATCATTAAAATAGATAATGTTTATTCTGCCTACTTGGCATATATAGTAAGGACTCATGTTTTGTAATGTTTTGTAATTTTTTTCAATGAAATACAAGTAGCACATTAGTTTAGCTTTCTTGACTCTGGAAAACTAGAACCTTGGCAAAGAATTTGGTTTTTGAAGATGACTCTTGATAATTATGTTTAGAAATGTTAATACTGGAAAATTCATCTTCTCTACTAGGTATGCAAATATAATGACTTAATTACGAAGTTTCTAGTATTCATAGGAGCTGATAGCATCCACTTCAATTTGGCAAGTAGAAATAGTGATGTTGATACTTTTAAGGCTGTTAAAGTTTTAATCCTCCTTTGACCTTAAATAGTACTTTAGATAAAGCCAAAGTGACAGTCTTTTCATGCAGAGTATTGTAAGCTCCTTAGTTACTACATGAAAGTATTGTGTTAGTCAAGATTATTTTATTTGAAAACAATAATATCCAGTTTAAATTAACTTAAAAAACTATTCGATCACATAACTGAGAAATCAAAGGCTTTTGCTGGCACCAAATATAGCTGAATTCACGGGTTTGATTTATGTCTACAATACTCCATGTAGGTATTTTTCTCCCCTTCTCTCTACTCTGCCAACACCTACGTGACTTTGTTCTTAGATAGGCTTTGTGCTTTGGGGGGTTAAATGGCTCCTGTGATGTAGAGATACCTAGAGAAAGGTTGTTTCTTTTCTAGTAGCTCCTGACAAATTCTCAGGAAGGAAACTAATTTAACCTTGGTATGATGCCTGAAAGAATCATCAAGGCTTGCCTTTGGAGAAAATGCCTGTTTATTGAGGAACAGCTCTGCATATTTATAGAGCCGGGGGTGGTCTGACAGTTGGCAGGGGGTGCTTTTTGATTGGTGGGTAAGGATCAGATGAGCCAGCAGGGCTAGTCTGATTGGTGGGTAAGGATCATGTGAGCCAGCAGGGCTCACCATTGGACAGCAGGATCATGTGAGCCAGCAGGGCTCACCATTGGACGGCTCTTCTTGGGGGATTGGGAAGTTAGTCTTTGGAGCTGGGGTGACTCCCAACAATGCCTATGTTCTTATCAGGACTGCTGAGTAATATGAATGAAAGATCAATTGGAAGAATAAACATCATATTAGCGTCCTCCTGAGAAACAGAACCATTAGGATATATGTATATGTACATATATAATATAGACATGTATAAGAATTAGCTCACATGAGGATGCATGCTGAGAAGTCCCAAGATCTGTGTTCAGCAAGCTGGATACCCATGAGAGCCAATGGTGTGGCTTCTGTCCCCAAAACCGGCAGGCTTAACACTGGGGAAGAGACATTGTTTCAGGTCTAGTTGGAAAGGAGGGAATGACCTCTCTGTTCCAGCTCCAGGGAGCTCCCTCTTAGCCTTTGTGTCATATTTGGGTCTTCAGTTGATTAAGGCCCACCCACATTAGGGAGGACAGTCTGCTTTCCACAGTGTATTGATTCAGATGTTAATCTCATCTCAAAGTCCCTTCACAGACGCATGCATAGAATAACATGTGACCATATGTCTGGGCACTTTGTGGCCCAGTGAAGTTAACATAAAATTAATGATCACAAAATTGTCATCAATACTGTGAACGAATTGCTTACTTTGTAAATTAATGAATCTGAAGGAACCATTACCTCTTCCCAGTGTACATTCTTTACTTTTGAAAGAAAGGAACTTTAGTTACTTCTTTAGTGCCTACTATATGCAGATTACAATATCATTTTTAGAGAGTAGTTCAGTCAGATTTTGAAACTTCAGTATGGATGAATAGAGAGGGATGGGGCATTCCAGGCAAGAATGGAGTTTACAAAGGTATAGAAGAGGCAGAGTTCTGGGTAGTTTGTAGAACTATGTGAAATAAGCTGTGGAGAAAATGTTTTCTCTCTCCATCAGCCCATTTGCTTATCCAAATACTATGAGCAACTATGGCATGTAAATATTTCTAGTTGTGGGGATTATGAATAACCAAGATAGATAGAACCTCTGCCTTTATGGATTTACTCTTTGACAAAGCCAAAAATTTTTGGAATTTTAATTGAAGAGGTTTTTAAGTCATGTAAATAAAAATGTTGACCAAAGTATTAACTAAACATCCAGACCACCACCTCTACCACCACCACTGTTGTTGTTGTCGTCTTTTTTTTTTTTTTTTTAAAGAAAACTGTGGGTCTGCATGTTGTTAAACAAATCCAGAAGAAATGTGTTCTTTTGAAACTGTGCTTTTGAGTTCACCCATTTTACTTTCTAAAGCAGAGTTTTCTCAGTATTCTGTGACTTTAGGACACTTTCCCCACATCTGTTAACATCTCCCAGAACTCTAGTGATCCTTCCCTACTAGCTTTGGAAGTACTTCATGAAGGTCACCGTCATTAAGGTCAGGAGCAATACAAGGATGCTCACTATCAAAACTCTTACATAAATTTGGATTGTAAAGATTAACTGATGTAATAATATAAGAAAATTGAATACTAAACATTATTTTCTATTGATGCATAGCAAATTACCACAAACCTACTTGCCTAAATCCACATCCATTTATTAGGTCACAGCTCTGTCCTAAGTCCTAGGAGGTGACCGGATTCTCTGCTAAGGTGCAGTAAAAGAGTTTGCTGGCTAGGCCCCTATCTGAAGACTCTGGGGAGGATTCTGCTTTCAACCTGTTCAGGTTATTTGCAGAATTCAGTTTCTTGTGTTTTTTTTTTTTTTTTTTTTTTTTAGCTTCCTGCAACAAATTAATACAAACCAACTGGTTTAAAACACAAAAATAGATTCTTTTAACAGTGTAAGAGACCAGAAATTGAAATCAAGGTATGGGAAGGTGTCGGTTGCTTAAGGAAACTCTGAGGGGAAATCCAGGCCATGACTCTCTCCTAGCTTCCGATGGCTGCAGGGATTTTAAAAATGGTTATTATAATTATTTGGTTCTATTACTTGTTATTATAATTATTCTGTACTATTAATTCAGTCCTATTAAGTTAGTGGGTTTCACTTTGACAATTCCATACCTGCACATAACATACTATGCTTAGGTCAGGTACCCCTCCTTGCCACTCTCCCCTGGAGCCTCCGTCAGATTACTCCAGTCTGTGCCTCTGTTTTCACTTGCCCTTCTCCCATGTGTGTCTTTTCCAGAGTCCCCTCTACCTTTTTCTTGTGAGGACACCTACATTGACTCTAGAGTTAATTTAAATCTAGGTGATCTTGAGATCCTTAACTGTATTTGCAAAGATCCTTTTTCCATGTAAGGCTACATGTTAGGAATTGGTCATATATTTTGGGGGGTGACTATTCAAATACAATATTTTTATGACAGTATGGCATTTAGCATTCCTCTCCTGGGTGGCTCTACATAGTTGTAGGACCATAATATTTATATATTTGCTGCCCTATGTCCCTTAAGACATGCACATTTCTTCTCAAGAGCTTCCTCCATCTTTAAGCCAGCAACAGTTTGTCAAATCTTCCTCATTCTTGAAAT